GCGATAACTTTTTTTACAGATATCACCAGGGATGTCCTAAATACAAGACCCAGAGCAGAACACCTTGGTCCTTACCTTTTCTGGCATCTGTCTTCTCTTTGTCCTCCCTGGGCTTCTGTGACTTCATGCTGTTTTCCTGTATCTCCAGCTCTCTCCAACTCTCTTTCAAAACATCACTTTCTTCATCTGCCCCCTAAGATGTTGATGTCTCTCTGTGGTCCACCTTCAGCACTGTCTCTGTCTTACACTGTTATTCTGTTTGGGGAATTTCACTAACCTCATGACTTCAAAAACCACTAATTACCTGAATTCTTGGGTTTTTCAGCCCAGTCCTTCCAGAACTTCAGGTCTGTAAATCAATATGTAAACTGCCCACTGGTCATCTCTGCTTGCCTTTCCCCAAGGTAGTGTTTAAGTCTATGTGTCAACTTGTCTTGCCTGAGGGGACGAGTTTGTTTAGTCAAATACTAGTATACATGTTGCCCCAGAGGTGATTTTGTTGACATGTTGGGGCCTGAACCCAGGGCCCCAGGCAAGCAAAACACCGGGTCTACTGCTGAGCTAATAACATTCCTGGCCCTAGAGGTATTTTCTTAGATATGATTCACATTTGTGATTTGTTGACTTAAAGTAAAGCAGATTCTCTTCCACAATGTTGGTGGGCCTCATTTAATCTTTTGATGGTCTTAAACACACAAACTGAGGTTTTCTAAAGGGGGAATTCTGTCTCCAGAGAGCAGGACAGAAATTTTTCCAAGGCCTTCAAACTTGAGGCTGTCACATCAACTCTTACCTGATCCTCTAGTCTGCTGGCTTGTTCTGTGGATTTGGGGTTTGTGAATCCTTAAATCTGCATGATCTAATTTCTTTTTTTTTTTTTTTACACTTTTTTTTTCTTTTTTCTTTTTACCGGTACCGGGGATCGAATTCACGACCGCCTGCTTGCAAGGCAGGTGCTTTTGCCGCTGAGCTAAATCCCCAGCCCCATGATCTAATTTCTTAAAATGTCTCTTTCTCTGTCTAAATGTAATGTAGTTTATATATGTTACACACATAAGTTTCATATATGCTTTATATAAAAATATGCCATATACATATTATATGTAATATGTATTGTTTTTAAGTTTTATTTTTATTAGTACATGTTTGCAGTACACAGTGATTACATGCATTGTGGGGCTGTGAATGTAACATATTTTACTTTTTACTTCCCTTTCCCATCCTCTCCCATCTCCCTATCTGTTGGTCACCTTCCCATTTGCAAAAGAACAATCTCTCTGTTTCCAATTATGTATCTTTTTATTTTATTCTTTAGTTGCTTATGCTTTGGGTTTCTCATAGAGGAGAAAGCATGAAATATTTAAGCTTGTATTTTCTAATTCATTTCACTTAACATAAGGTCTCATAGTGCATCCATTTTCCTACAATTGGCTCAGATGTATCCCTTTATAACAGACTGGTGCCTCGTTGTGTATAAACAGCACACTTTATGGATCTATGGAGGAATGGATAGAAAAGATATGGTCTTTATATAGAATGGATTACTACTCAGTCATAAAGAAGGGTAAGCTGGAGACTTTTATAGGTAAATGGATACAACTTGAGACCATACTCCTAAGTGAAATAAGTAAGACATACATGTACAAACATTGCATTGTCTCCCTAGTGTGAGAAGATGAAAGAATGTATGAGATTTGAAATGCACAAGAGATATTGTAAAGTGGGAAGAAACTGTTCAAAAGGAAAGAGAAAGTAGGATGGGGAAAGGAGAAAAGAAGGAAGGGGAAAACATATATATATATATATATGTATATATATATATACATATATATATATATAAAATGGTTCAGATAGTTATACTACTTTTTCTTAGTTTATTGAAAAGAAAGGTTTATGCTAATATCACTTGGACAATTAAATGCCTATATCTTGTAGCCTGAGTAACTAAAAATAACAATACACAATGTATTAACCGTTGTTACTTTATTATCTTTTGAAATATTTTTATTTTTAAAATAATAATAATAAAAAAGAGAGAGAGATCCTGAGTTAACTAATGATGGAACAGGAATTAACCAAAAAGTCTACATTTAGTTAAGAGGAAAAAAACCTTCCTATCACTATGCATTGAAATGTGAGGAGAAATTAGCTTAGAAAGCCTGGATTTCCAGGTAGCATTTCAGGAAGTGACAATTCAGCTTTTCACAACTATCAGATAAAGAGTTCATCATTTTAAAAATATTTTATGTACTTGCAGAAAGGGACAAATGAGGCAAACAGAGAGTTTCTTTGTCTGTCCCTGAAACGCTGTTCTGCTGGAGATGGAAAATAGCCAGTCAGGAACAACTTTTACAAACTGAAAAACTCCCACAAGCTTGGATTTTACATGAACATTTGAGGTAAACTTAGGGTTTCTCAGCATCTCAAAGGTCTTTATTAATCTTGCTTACACATTCCAGATTAAAAGAGAAGAGAGTTGTATAGTTTAAACATTTATTTTGGAGAGACTCTCCTTGCCTTGGACTAAGTATTTTCAAGATTCTGGGTAACAAAGCTCCAGTTATGATGAGAAATATGGATAGGAAGGGACAGCTGCTTCAGATTCACCACCTAGAACCTCGAAACATGAAGAGCTAGCGGGACCCCAGGTATCACATATAGGCCAACCTTCAATTTACAGAGCAGAAGAAACAGACTGAAGAGGTATGATTTGCTCATTAGGCCATTCAGATATTTGGGGTTTCCCTTTGGGGAGCTTGCACTTGCACTCTCTTCCTCCCTATAGAAAATTCTGAGCTGAAAAGAGATAAATCATATTAAATCACAGTGTAAGGCGCTACTCCCTTACACATGAGTTGTTCATGGATCTGGAGATCCCACTCAAAATAAGTGGGGTCCAGATAGGGTTAGAAGTCTTTCTGAGCATAGTGGTACACACTTAGCACGTGAGAGGGAGGCTGAAGCAGGAGTACCTCTCCAAGTTCAAGGCCAGCCTGGGCTACAAAATGAGTTCAAGATCAGCCTTGACTACCTAGTGAGACCTTGTCTTTAAAAAAAGTTTAAAGCTGGGAAAGAAGATGACCAGAAACCACAGTGGAGAGAAAGCCATCCAAATGAAAAACTGACCAGAGATCCCAGAGGACAAAAGAAATGTCACTGAAGACACATGGTCGAAACAACCTGTGGTGTTTTTGAACTTTGTCAGTTTATGGACACTGGAATTACTGTCCCCCTTTCCTAAACGGTTCTAAGTTACAATTGGCCAAAAAGAAAAATTAGTGTGAGACTTGGGAAGAAAAGCGAAACAGCAAGGACCTCTGGTGAGAAGAGGAGTGGGCCAGACACAAAGCCTGGGAAAGAGGACCATTTGTCCTGACTGAAGAGGGGAGAAAATGGCAGCGTGGTCAGATTAAGTATCCTTTGTGTCCTAAGAAGGCTTCTGTGAGGAATATGCTATGTAGAGGAGTTGACCCGGTCTTCAATGCAGAAACCCAAAGGCATCTCATCCTAGACTAGACCACATGCTTCAGAGCAGGGGCTAAGATTTGTGCCTAAAACTATTATGAATGCAGGGCTACATAAAGGAAATAAACTGAACCAACTCTATATATCTCCAGACTGCATTTTAGATGCTAAGATCTCTATCACAGTGAATAGCGTGGTGCTTCTAGATGGATAAGGACCTAAGTGTTTGCTGTAGAGAAGGGACAATTCTTCATAAAAGAGCTCCAGAGCCAAGTGTGGTGACTCATGCCTATAATCCCAGCACTCCGGAGGCTGAGGCAGGAGGATCACTGCAAGTTTGAGACCAGCCTAGGCTACAAAGTGAGTTCAAAGCCAGCCTAAACTACATAGCAAGATCTTGTCTCAAGAAAAGACAATAAATAAATAAAAGAAGTCCAATCAGTAAGTGTTGAAGGAATGAGATAAACAGAACTCTACAGTGTTAATGACTGCAAACAAGGTCTACTGATGAAAGCTAAAATGACTGGGCAAACCTTTAAGGAGAAACAAGTACTTCAGTAATCTCAAAGTATCTCCTCCCAAAATGTATCAATTATAAAGGGGGAAAAACCAGTTAACTTCACAGGAGAGAAACCCAGCAGGCACTGCCCTAAGGGATCAAGGTTAATATCACTACAAGAAGCCACCTTACAAATGCATTCCTTTTGTATGATGTCATGGGAAGGGGACTTTATCTCAACAGTAATGCTTCTAAAATCTCATGTCAGTAGCATCATGGAAAACATCACATGAACCCAAGCTGAGAGAGTCTACAAAATACCAGACCCAAAAGGAAAAATATTTTTGTGTCTTTTTGAGAGACAGGGTTCTGCTATGCAGTTCAGGCTGGCCTTGAGCTCACTCGGTAGCCCAGGCTGGCCTTGAACTCACAGTGATCCTCCTGCTCCCATGGGCTGAGATTACAGGCTTGTACCACCACACCTGGCATTGTTTGTTTGTTTGCTTTGTTTTTTGAAAGAGAACCCCATGTTTCAGTGTCATTTATTACCCTCCTGTGTGCCCCACACACACACAAACATTGCCCAGAGCACTGCCAGGGCAAGGCAAAGAAATGGAATGAAGAGAGGAACAGCCTTTTGGGCCGAGACCTCTATAAACTGTGACTCACTAAAGTTCACGCTGCACACATGAAGCCAGCTCAGCAGAGCAGGCCACGGGAATGACTCTTCTCCATTTGTCCACAGAGCCACCCAGGGGACCTGCCTCCCTGCACAGAGAGGCCTGTGCAGCCTACATTAGGGCAAGGAAATGTGCGATTAGGACTCTTAGCAGGAAGAGAAGGTTGCAAGAAGGAAGGCTAAAAACAATAAAAAAGATCGATACCATCAAAAAGAATCTGACACAGGCCACTGAGGAAGGAGGGAAGCCAGCAGACAGACACAGGCCCCGCGGCATGGGAAGTCACTTCCCTGCCTGACCTCAGGCCTTTCAGTGTTCCCTGGGTCCCAGGCGTAACTAGTTAACTTACCCAACAGCAGTGTTACCAGCAGTATTTATTAGACGTGGATAATTTTGAATTTTCTATTTCCAACTATTTCCTTCATTATCTTTTGCTGTTTCCCAAAATCTGGAAGCCGTTCATCACGGGCGTTACCTGTCTTGGAAATTCATCAGTGCCTGTGCTGAAAAGAGACAGACAATGAGGCTGCAGGCCAGACCATTTTAAACTTATCCGTGTTTGGTACAGGCCTTTCTTTTCTGGGTTCTGGATTCCCACACAAATTCGTTTTCTTTTTTTCTATTTCTTTTCTTTCTTTTGAGACAGGGTTTCGCTATGTAGTTCACGCTGACCTCAAACTTACTCGGTAGCCCAGGCTGGCCTTGAACTCACAGTGATCCTCCTGCTCCTAAGGGCTGAGATTACAGGCTTGCACCACCACACCTGGCATTATTTGTTTGTTTGTTTTGTTTTTGGAAAGAGAATCCCATGTTCCAGTGTCATTTATTGCCCCCCAACCCCGCCACACACACACACACACACACACACACACACACACACGTCTTTCTCCCTAATTTCTTATTTTCACATTGGGTTGATTTCAACAAGTTATGAGAAAGATAATGAGACAATACCAATCCATATTAAACTGTTAAAAAGAAAAGCCTACCTCTAACAGTTCTGTGTTTTGTTTTGTTTTACATTTAGGGGGAAATTTTATTAATTTAAATTAACTCTCAAGCAGTAAAAAAGTAGGACTTTAAAAAATATATGTAGGGTTACACGCATTAAACCCAGGGCCTTCACACTGAGCTATATTCTCAGCCATTTTTATTTGCTTATTTTTAAATTTTGAGACAAGGTCTCATGAAGTCGCCAGGTGGCCAGGCTGAAGAACTCGTGATCCTTCTGCCTCAGCCTCCCAGAGTGCTGGGATTACAAGTGTGTGTCACCACTCCCAGAGGGGAGAATAATTTAGCAGTTAGTTCTCAGCTGATAGCGAATTCTATTATTTAAATGACATATTTCTCTCTGCCCACACAGACTAGAAAGGGCTGACAGTCTGTAATTCGGAAACTTCTCTGGGGCTGTGGCAGTGGGCACTTGGGGGCTTTCTGTTCCCCCTTTAGCCCCTAAAAGAGCATCCTGCTCCCATCTGAGGGGCACGGGGCCCTGCCGGCCAGCTCTGAAACACAGCCGTCAAAGAGAAGGAACATGGAGAGGAAGGCTGACTGTGACATGAGGCAGAGGCCACTTTGCCTTAATTCCTGCCAACCAGAACTAGATACCCTTCTTGTAGGAAACAACCCCCGCGGCCTCATAGGATCGAGGTGTCCCCTGCTGGAGAAGCAAGTTCATAGGTTCTCTCAAAGTCAGAGGCCACTGGGACATTTGCCTAAAACATGACACACAAATTGAGAACTTGGCGGGAGGCACACAGAACAGACTGAGGTGCCGGAACAGGGACCCCTCAACTGCCCAGCGAGTGCTCAACTCCAGGTCCCCCCTGCAGCCTCAGAGTCAGACCTGCCAACTGCTGCAGCTCCTTCCGCTCCTCCAGGTTATACTGCAGCTTTTCCAGCAGCTCAAGATACCGCAGGACGAGATTCTTGGGCCAAACGGTATACTCCTCCTGATCCATTTCTATGAGCTCGGGGAGATTCTGGTGCACCAGGTTCTCCCAGTCCAGCTGATCTGCAGGGAGGAAGCCTGCTTACACAGCTGCATCTGCAGAATCTGGGAAAGAGCTGAGAAATCCCTCGGCCTTTGCACTGAGGTAGCAATAGAAGAGGAAATTGGGGACACAGAAGGAAAGGGCGTGTCACTGGGAAACTGCTTTTCACAATTGGCAAAGAGCCACAGCCACACTTATCCAAGAGGAAGCAAAAGTACAGCAAAACTATACTTTGAAAATTTTCCAGGGGTTGGGAATGGAACCCAAGGCCTTACATGTGCTAGATAAGTGCTCTGCCACTGAGCATGTCTCTAGCCCGTACAGGGAAAATTAAGAGACTCAAATTATGAGCAGAATATCAAAGTGGTGGAGAAGCTGGAATGGGATTCTCAGCTGAGAATGGCATGCACACCCATCTGTGATCCCAGCACTCAGGAGGCTGACCGCCAAGCTGGGCAGTTCAAGGCAAAGCCAGACCATGGAGAGATAGAGATAGAGATAGAGATAAAGAGAGAGACAGACCAGAAACAGAGAGCTGTTCTATTGAGTCTAAATTTAGGTGGAAAAAAACCCTTCTGCTCACCATGTTCTGAAGAGGAAGAAGTAGAGGAGGAGTCGTCATCTTCTCTTTTAGGCAAGGACTCTTTCTTTTTGGAAGACACTTTCAGTTCCTTCCCCATAGCACTATGTTTAGATTCTTTTTTAGGAGGTTCTTGGAAGTCCACGGACGTCCTCCAGTGGCTGACGTCTCTAATCATGTAAGGGGAAGTTTTATTCTTCCCCACACGGTTACAAGCTCTGACTAGATCACTGGTTACTCTAGTCCTGGCCCTGGCTGCACCCTAAGACTGGGATTTAAGGGGATGAGCACCAATTTAGTACCAAACTCTGAATTGGGCCCTTCTAGCCGCACCCTTCATTCTTTCCTTACTTCCACAGTCAGTCCATCAAGAAATCCTTGTAGGGTAAGGCGGCACACGCCTGTAATCTCAGTACTCAGGAGGCTGAAGCAGGAGGATTGTTGTGAGTTCGAGACAAGCCTGGGCTACAAAATGAGCTCAAGGCTAGCCTAAACTGCATAGCAACATCCTGTCTCAAAAGACAAAAAGAGAAAAAAACATCCTACTGGCTCTCCATAAAAATGTATCTTTTCTCACTAATTCATGGCATGGCCTGCTCTAAGCCTTTACCCTCTCCCCTGCGTCACAGCACACAGCACTGCTCCTTGCTGGACATTTCCCATGCCCTTTTAAATTGTTTTCTGAGACATGGTCTTGCTAGGTTGCACAAATTGATCTCAAACTTGTTATGTGGTACAGGCTAGCCCTGAGAGCCTCCTGAGTACTGGGGTTACAGGACTATGCCACCGAGCTCAGCTCCCCCTCTTCCCCCCTACCAGCAGTCTTTTCCAGTCTATCATTTACACAGCAACCAGAATAATGTCCGCTTCTTTTTAGGAAGGGTAGGATCTTGCTAACTCAGCCAGGCTGGGCTAGAATTTGCAGTTCTCCTGCCTCAGCCTCCCAGAGTGCTAGGGCTACAAGTGAGTCCACCACGTCCATCTTATAGCAATCCTTTCAAATGTAAGTCATTTGCTGTCATCCCGCTCTGTTTCCCTGTCTGTCTGAGTCCCTCAAAGGCGTCCTTCGGTTCCACAGAATCAGGTCTCCAGCCTGCTCCCTCTTTGCCCCTGCTCATTCTGCTGCAGGTACAAGGAATGGCCTCATACCAGGCCTACTTCCAGGTTAGGGCCTTCCTGCTAGCGGGGGCAAATGAATGGGGAATTCACCGGGAAGTCTCCTCTCCATGTTCCCTCTTCAAAGAGGATGCCCTGGTTATCCTGCTTCAAACTGTAGCACACACAGGCACTCCCCTTTCACCTGTTCTAATTTTCATCTTTCTGGAAGGTTTGTCATAATTTAGCACACTGTTTACATGTCCACTGTTTATTGTCTCTTCACCCCTGCTATTTATGTAAGTTCTCTATTCACTGCTAACCATTCAGGCCCTGGAACTGTACTAGCTTCACTGAAGATATCTATATTGCTTTCCTCTGGGTGCCATAACAAATGACCATAAGCTGGTAGCTTAAAATAAAGCATCAATGCATTCTCCCCCAGTTCTGCAGGCCAGAAATCTGAAATTAAAGTGCAACCTCTGTCGGCTCCACGAGAAGGTGCCTTGCTCCTCAGCCTTTCTGAGCTTCCCTTGGCTCCTGGCTGCACGGCTGCAGTCTCTATTTCCATCTTCGCATCACCTCTGCCTATTCTCTGGGTCTGTGTCTCCTGTCCTGTTGTTATGATCTTCCTGGGTCAGAGAATTTGGGACCCAGCTGGATAATCCAGGATGATCACAACTCAAGACTTTTCAAGTTAACCACATGAGCAAAGACCTTTTTTCCAAATCAGGACACATTTCCAAGGTCCCAGGGATTATGGATATGGACAGATAATTTTGAGAATCATCCCAGATCACTGCTCACCTGCCATTGACTTTGCTGTGGCTTGACCTCAGTGTTGCAAAGGATGCGTTTTGTCTCCTGCAAAAATACCGTGGACACACAACTAACAATAAAAACGGACTAGGAGAGAGTGCTGAGGGGCAGGGAAAATGAAGAAAGCTAAGAAAATGAAATCCTGAGCTGAAGTGCAAAAAGAAGTAAAAGACGTTGGATCAGCAAATGAAGTAAAGTGAGTGGCGAGGACAGAGTATAGTGGAGGTTGGAGCAGACTGGGGGAGCCCCTCACAGGGGAGGAAGAATCAGGCAATGTACCAGACCTGCGGAAGTCGTAAGTCTCCGGGCCAATCTCCTGTCCCAGGGCAAAAGGAGGGTCAAGGCCACAGAGGGGAAACCAGGAGTGAGGGCGGGAAGCTCTTGGGACACAGTGTAGTCTGAAAAGCGGTGGCAGACCTCCTGAGGATCTGTAGCTTGAGGAAGTCAGCTTTGTGCTGGGCTGCCAGGTGTGCCATCTCCTTGTCCAGCTCATCCCGGATGTCCTGGAAGTTATTTGCTGGGTGGGAGAGACCCAGGGATTAATCCATGTGGGATCATAGCCTGCCTGTTGGTTTCTCTCTGCCCATGACCCACCAGTCCCAAATGTCAGACTCAATTTTTCCCAGCCACTCCTCCCTCCACGTCACACCCGCCTTCTGCTCACCCATAGTGCTTATTATGACATTCCGTAAGATGATGGAGCCAAGCAGCACCCAGAGGATGATATAGATGCTGCTGACCGTGGAGCTGACTTCCGGCACCTTCCAGAGGTCCCGGAGCAGCGCATTCCACTGGTCCATGGTGAAGAGGATGAAGATGGTGATGAGGGAGTTTGGCAGGCTACTGTAGAGCAAGGTGCATGGAGAGAGGGGAGGAGAACTAAGCCTCTCAAAAACAATCCCTACTTTTAAAGCAACAGAAGAGCATTTTTTTGTACAGTACTTTGCCCTGACTTTGGCGTGTTTTTTGCCACATTCAATTATTTTTTAAGCTATTTGCCCTTCAGCTGAAGTTGTTTTCATTGTTTTCCTTGATCGTGAATAATCTAGGGATGCCTCTCACTGATCCAGTTGTCCTGAGGCATGGTAAGTACTGTATTCCATACATCTTGGCTGAATTTTTAAAAACTGAATGAATCACAAGTGGGTAGTTTTTCTAAATTTGCTCATTCATCTCTGTTTTATGGATTTGGTCCTACCGAGCTCATTGATATGCACTAACAAGTGAAAGAATGGGTATCTGATGAAAACATGTGGAGTCCCAAATAACGAATGATAATGAATGTATATAAGCAATATAAAAATTGTAAAAGTAATACAATTAACTTACAAACTAATTATTTCAGGGTTGGAGGTATAGTTCAGTAGTAGAACACTTTTTTTTATATGTGCAAGGGCCAGGGTTCAATTCTAGGCACTCCAAACAAAAAAAAACCAATTTAGAAGCCAGGCTAGAATTTAGAATTTAGAAGCATGCCTGTAATCCCAGCACTCTGGAAGCTGAGGCAGGAGAATCATTGCACATTCAAGACCAGCCTGGGCTACAAAGTGAGTCCAAGGCTAGCCTGAACTGCATAGTGAGACCTTGTCTCAAAAAGACCACCCAAAAAATTAGCTATCACTGAGATATTCTGTCCACAACAGTTCCTCTTTCCTTCTTAGTTCCCTGCATACAATTTATGGAAAACATCGGGGTTTGAGTAGGATGACTGCTAGGACTTTTTAGTGCTTTTACAAATCAGCCCATGAACTAGCTACCTGACCTTTCAGATCAGAGCCAGGGCTACCCGCTGTTCCTTTACTTTCTCCACCTCTCTCCTTACTGCACTCTACTCGGCTACCCAAGGCTACACTTTCTGTATTTCTGTGCTTTGCATGTGTTGCCAAGTACCTCATCAGAATTCCCTCCTCCACCCAGCGTTCCCCAGCCTTTAACTCCACCTACAAGAAGGCCTGTGGGTTCACCAGGTCCTGGCGAGTGGAACGGCTGTAATCCTTGAAGAAGTAGACTCCAGCCACGGCAAAGATGTAGAAGAAGATGAGTAGCAACATGAAGTGAAATCGGATGTTCTGGAGGACGGGACCTCAGGTCAGAGGCGGGAAGAGAGGCTGATCTCCGGTGATAGCCAGGCCAGCCCACCTGGCTTCACCCACCCCGCCTTTCCTTCCGGGCAGGCCCAGGCCTCTTGGGACCACAGCAGCTCCTCTCCAGCCCTCCTCATCCCAAACTATTTCACAGCACCTCCAGAAGCTCCTTAGAGCCACGTGGGCTTGCTATACTCCTGGTGTTAAAGCCCACGTCTCTATCCCCAGGCCACACTGAAGCCAAACCCATCCAATCACCTTGAAGGTCCTGACCAGGGCCAAAATGATAACTCGGACTTGGTGGAACTGGGCATAGAGCCTGAAACACCTCATCACGCCGCAGATGCTCATCAGCTCCAGCCACACAGGATGGCCTGTTACGCCGCCCAGCACCAAGATTTCATAAAGGAAGGGCTGTGGGAACCAGAGCATGAGTGCAACAGACCCGAAAGCTCCTAGGCACACAGCAGCCTGTCTGCTCCCAAGCCCACCACCCCTCACTGTTCCTGGGCATCAGCGCTCATCTCATTGATGCATGAGTGACACAACACAAGCTACACACTTCCAGCAGTGCCCGGGGTGGACTGGGTGCTCAGGAACTGGCAGCTGTCGCTGTCAGAACTGATGCTGGCTTTGGATTTGACCAACAATTCCTGCAGTGTCTGACTTGGACCCAAAACAGCAAACAGCAGTCAGGCAGTCTGTGCTTGTGTTTCTCTGTTCTCTTGTTTCCATTCACCTAAGGACACCCCGCACCCCGCCAGCCAGTGCCCAGCCATCGTCCTTACCAACAGGGTGATGACAAAGTCAAAGATGTTCCAGGGGTTCTTCCAGTACAGGGAGAAGCTGGCTATCCACTTCAGAAGGATTTCCACGATGAAAACGGGCAAGATAAACCAGATCACCACCTCCAGAGACAGCTTCAGCAGCCACAGTTGGGTGTTCGTGGAATCCAGCAATTCTGGGAAAGCAGAGAAGGGGAAACTGAGAATTAAGGAGGTGGGAAGTCCAGTGATGCAGAACAACCGTTTATAAACCACAGCGGTGCCCACTGCTGCCTGCCTGTTTCTGACTTCTTTATCGCTTAATGCCATAGCCTCAGCCTGTGGGACCCGCGGCCACTGTAGCACCTGCATCCTGCTGCGGCTAACAGCTGCACCTCACTTCTGGCCCGTCCCACAGTCTAGGGGTTTTCCTTGTCCCCACCCTGGGCTTATTGTCACATTAGTTCCCAACCTACCCGAAAGCAATGGGTTTTGAGAGGAGAATGAAAATACGGGTCATGAGATGCAAAATGCTTCACCAGAGAAGTGAAACAAGAAGCCTGAATGGGGGGAGTGGGTGCACATGAGTTATAATAGGAAATCTCTCCATCCTCCTCTGTCTTTCTGTCTTCTCTAATGAGAACTGACCGCGTTCCACCACAGCAAGCTGAATCCACGAGAATCTTGCTGTTATTTGCTAACTAGTATTCCTTCATTTGTTGTCTCTGTCTTTTAACTCTCTTCACTTCCACGCACTTACACACACACACACACACACACACACACACACAGATGTGCACGCACGCATGCACACATACACACACACACCATACTGGGCTCAAACTTAGGATTCTCCTGCCTCAGCCTCCCAGAGTGGTGGAATCACAAGAGAATGGCGGCATACCTAGCAACTTTCATATACTTGATGGATTGTTCCATGCTCTGGGGCAGGGATGGTGAACCTCATAGAGACTGAGTGCCCAGACCAACCCAAAGCCCACTTATTTATCAGAAAGTGCTGCAATTAAAGCCGATGACTGAGGTTTTAGTTTAGAAAAAAAGCAACACATACATTAACATCTTTTGTCCTAAAAGAAAAACAAGTAATATGTGTGCCGTAGGTTTGCTGCCACTGGGGGGAAAAGTGATGTCAAAATAGACCTAAAGCTGGGTGTGGTGGTGCACACCTGTAACCCCAGGAGGGTGAGGCAGGAGGATTGCCAAAAATTTGAGGCCAGCCTGTACTACATAGTGAGACCCTGCCTCAAAAAACAAACCCAAACCAAACCCAAATAAAATAGACCTAAAAGCTAAATAACAACCAATGCTTTGGCTCCATGCCTTTATAGTTATTTTTGTCATGCCAGGGAATGAAGTGAGGGCCTTTGCACTGAGCTACACCTCCAGCCCTTTTTTATTTTTGCGAGGGTCTTGCTAAATCACTAAGTTGCCTAGGCTGTGCTCAAATTTGTGATCCTCCTGCCTCAGCCTCCAGAATGCTGCTATTACAGATGTGTACCACCATGCCTGGCAACAAGTTTTTCTTTTACATAAAATTTCTCTAACTTAGTCAGGAGTGGTGGTACACACTTATAATCCTAGCACTTGGGAGGCTGAGGCAGGAGGATCACTGTGAGTTCAGCCTGGACTTGATAGTGAGACGGTCTCAAAAAATAAAACAGAAAAAATATTTATCTAATTTAAAATGAGCAGCTTTTCAGTGTTAACCTCTGAAATTAGGCTATGTCTTACAATCAGTGATGTGTTTCTGAGTGATTTGTATTTATTTTGAGATAGAGTCTTGCTATGTAGTTTAGGCCTTGAAAGCACAGAGATCCTCCTGCCTCAGCCTCCCACGTGCTGGGATTACAGGTGTGTGCCACTAGACCCAGTGCTTTTTCTTAGTGCTAAATAAAAAGTGAATTTCACCATTGATGACTGCCTAGAGTCAATAAGATACAATATTCTGTCTATAGTAATATATCCTGGCTCTCGGAAGCATGGCGTTATAGTATTAGAAGGAGTTGACAACCACCTTTGTGGCTGGGAAACTGAATGCTCTAATTTTTATTCAGTTTTCCTTTCACAAAACAGGAGCTCAGAGAACAGCAGTAAAGTAGTTCAAAGTAATTGTTTTAAACAGGCCCTGATGAAGCACACCTGTAATCCCATCACTCTGGAGGCTGAGGTAGGAGGATCACAAATTCATGCCCAGCCTAGCATATTTAGTGATTGAAAGATAGCTGTCTCCAAAAAAAAAAAAAAAAAAAAAAAAAATATATATATATATATATATATATATATATATATATATATAGACTGGGCTGTATCTCAGAATGAAAGCCCTTTAATCCCCAGAACTCCTCCCCCCCACACACATTCAGGGTCTTAGAGAAATCTGATGGTTAGAATATGGAAGTCTAAATTAGAGAAGCAGCTGCTCTTTTACCCTTTGAGTAGTGAACCCTCCTCCAAAATTCAGAGGAACAAACAAAAAGTGGCCTATGCAACACAGAATGCACAAAGGTGACAGTTTTCAATCTGCATCAACTAAAGAAAATGTGAACTATCTAGAGAAGAAAACCTAACTTTTAAAACTTTCTTATCCTGCCTTGGGAGGGAAAAGGAGTCTTATTAGAAACAGGGCCCAGAGCCTGGAGCCGCCCGCCCACCCAGGGACCTTAGCCAAAGCGGGGAATTCATGGGGAAAATCTACACTTGAACTTTCTCTTGGGGGCGAGAAAAGAGAGGGCTTAGATCAAGCAGGTCAGGCAAACAGGCATGGTTCTATAAGATAAGGCAGAGTTTCATCATGGGGTGTCCTCTGTTTCTACTCCCTATTCTAGAGCAAGGGTCACCTTGGTGGCAAGAGAAGTCCAACACCAAGGAGTACGCTGTGCTCTCCATCAAAGACAGGAGTAGTGTCAGAACGTCCACCCTTGGCATCCAAGAGCTCAAGTAGTGCTTATGATTCCATTGTGAGAAATAAGCATTTAGTTCTGTTCTAGGAGGACTACAACAAAATATTGGTGTGGTTGAGTTACATGATATAAAAAGAAGGCTGGGAAATTCCTAAGGACATAAGAAATGCTGGATGGATTTTGAATAATAGTACCGTCAGGTGCATTTGTGGAGTGAACAGAATTATCTTCCACAATGACATTTCACACGGGTAAAAATGTACTTAAACGGCTGGCCACCATGGCACACACCTGTAAGCCCAGTACGCTGCAAGCCTGAGGCATGAGCATCACAAGTTTGATCCCACTTTAGGCAACTTAGCAAAACTGCGTCTCAAATAAATAAAAAGGGCTGGGAATAGTGCTCAGTGTGAAAGCACAGGGTCCAATCTTCCACACTGAAAAACAACAACACAAAACACACACACAGAGCCTAAGTACAATCATTCAGGCTGGCCTTGAATACACAATCCTCTTGCCTCAGCCTCCTGAGTACTGGATTACAGTTGTGCACATCATAGGTGCCACCATCTCATATATTTCTTTATGAGTGGTGGGAATCACTTGCTAAGCAGCAAAAATAAAACTTTACTTACAGTCATATAATTACTAACATTATATAATAGCCAGCATTAAAATACAATGTTTAATAATATGCTTGTCCAAAATATTTTATCTCACTTTGCTTTTTTGTATCACATGATTAACACAGGTAAGAGAAACTTTCAATATTACAGGGAGACTAAATCACATGACAAAAAAGAGGAGTTTCTAACCTCATTAATCCTTTTCCCTACCTATAATATCATTCACTGTGACCTAGAAAAAAAACTTAAGCCTAAAAATGTCTTGATATTTATCTTTATTATTTGAAATTGTTCAAAGAAATCTGTTCATCATAGATAATTGCCCTTGGCAAAATCCCTCCCTCCTCTATGCCATTAAAATTTATCAGCAATTATACTATAAATATGGATTTGTCAGGTCTGGTAGTCTATGCCTGCAATCCTAGCATTTGGGAGGCCGAGGCAGGAGGATCACTGTGCATTTGAGGCCAGTTGCATAGTAAGTTCAAACTTATCCTGGAATCCATAACAAGAGCCTGTCTGGGAAAAAAATTAAAAATAAAAAAGTACGAAAAAGATAGGGAATTGTGAGTGACTTAGTTCAAAATCTATCCTTATGGGGCAGAAATAAAAATATCTCAAAGTACAGAAAGAATATAGTACATACAGAAGTAGGGCAGGGATATTAGGTATTGTTATGTATTTAAATTACTTTGACCTGAGCACACTAAAGGACTTTTTTCAAGTGGGGGACTTCCACAGAAAAAAAAGCTAAAGGAAACAAGTGAGCACTTATACTCTTTTCATCATTTCTGAGTAGCTTGTTTGAAATAACGATCAAATGCACTCACTAATTGGGTGGCTTTTTGTTTTTAACACATTTCATATAGCTCATTATAGGTCTTAGTCCTTTATTTTCTTGGTAATTTTGGGGAGTTTGCTTACTACATCAGTTGTCCCTAACTTTACGTGAGCTCCTAAAATTCATACTTAAACCATCTTCCTAAATATATTTATGAAATGTAAATGTTGGATCACTCAGATCCATACCTGTGACTAACAGAAAAAGTTCAGGGCTGGGGAGGCGGCTCAGTGGTAGAGCACTCGTCTACATGGGCAAGGCCCTGAACGATACAACTGACCTTTCCACCTCCAGTTCCTGTGGAGTTGTTACCCAGTTATAACTGACACCTTCCATAAGTGTCCAGACTACCCGGGTCTTCTGCACAGTACTCCTGAGAGCACCCTGAATGTTTCTAGATCTCGGCAGTTGCACAAATTTGTTATGTTTTTTTTTCTTTTTCTTTCTTTCTTTCTTTTTTTTTTTTTTTTTTTTTGGTCTTTTTCGTTTTTATTGGTACCAGGGATGGAACTCACGACCGCACACTTGCAAGGCAGGCGCTTATGCCACTGAGCTAAATTCCCAGCCCCTATGTTTTGTTTTTTTTGAGGCAGCATCTTGCTGGGCCTTGAACTCCTTGTGTAACCTCTACTGACCTTGAATTTGCAGCAATCTCCTGCCTCTGCCTCTGGAGTGCTGGGATTAGATGTGTACCACCACACCCAGAAATTGTACAATTTCTATTCCAGGGGGCTTAATATATTTATCCCACAATTATTACAATGATATTAAAAATGTAAAATGATCAGTGGAGAAGAAAACTAAATCCATTTCCTCTTCCATTCAGTCCTCACCTGTTGTAATCATCCGTACAATTGCATTCAAAACGATGAGGAAACTGATCATGTTCTTGAACCAAGCATCTGGTTTCTGTTAAGGAAACATACTGAGTGGAATTCTATCTGATCTACAAGGTGAAATAACACAGGTAAAAATATAAGACAAAGTGGGAGGATTTGAGCTCCATCCCCAGCATCACAGAAAAAGAAAAGGAAGAAAAAATACAAGCCATGTGAATACGAAGGTAATAGGAGTGTAGGAAAAAAGACACCAAATAGGCAGATGATGAATGGCCGTGGCTAAGAAAGACAGGAAAGGATACGTTCAATAACCCACTGGGCCCAAAGGGAAAGAGGCGGCCAAGGCCCGTGCCGGACATGAAATCTACACAGCAGTCGCTGGCCGTGTGAAACCCGGCCTAGGTACCGGGGCTTTGTGGAGAAGCGTACTTGCTGATGTTGATCTCTCAGCCTAAGAGACTTCAGGTAGGAAGGATCTAGGATAAACATTTTACAAAGGATAGTGCCTGCCTCTGGGTCCACCTACTCGAGAGGCTGAGGCAGGATGACCGCTGGATCACAGGAGTTTAAGGCTACCATGGGCAACAGGGGAGATGGGTGTGTGTGTGTGTGTGTGTATCAGTGGCTTCATGTTAGTGTGTATGAGTTCACACACTGCTTATGACCAACACTGACCACCCCCACAAAAAGAGCAGGAGGCTCAAAATTCCAAGTTTTAAATATCTTTGGCAGAAACTTTTCCCAGTTAATCATGGGTAGGATCCTAAAAATCATAGACAAGGACTCTATTTCCTGCATTCAAAGATTTATTTATAAACCAGGCATGGTGGCCGGCTGCAACCCAGCACTTTGGGAGGCTGATGTGAGAGGATCCTAAATTCAAGCCCAGCCTGGTAACTTAATGAGACCTTGGCTCAGAATAAATAAAATAAAGGGAGGGGGTGGTACAGTTCAGGGTGAAGGCCCTGTGTTTAATCTCCAGTGCGGAAGAAAAAAAGGTTTTATTTGTAAAATCCTCGAAATGATTGATTGAATTTGGTGCAACCTCCAAACCAGCCACCAAACCAGTCTCCCCTGAATTTTCCACCCTTAAATGTGCCTCCTTGCTTTCTGGTTTTTGGAGGATGTGGATGGGGTTCTTCAATAGAGAGTAAGAGAACAGGCTGCTAACCAATGATCTCCCGGGTCGTGTACAGTGGCATAGGCTGGTCGGAGACTTGAAAATGCTCCAGGTCAATGCGACGAGAGCGAATGGCATCAGCTCTGGGCAGCTGCATGTGCCCGGAGGGGGTATATTTAACCATGTCTGTGGAAAAACAAGAGGAATCAAGGGTCAGAGGGCTTTTCCTTCTCAGAGTAGCACAGGGATCAGAAGGCGTGTGTGCATTTTTAACAAAAGTAGACGTGAGGAAGAGAAGGCTGGGTGTGATGTCGAAAACTAGCCTGTCATTCAAGCACCTTGGGAGGCTGAGGCAGGACGATCCCAAATACAAGCCCAGAGTGGTCAAATGAAGGACTACATCTCTGTCTTAAAAAGCAAACCAAAAATTAAAAAGGCTGGCGATTTAGGTTATGTGAAGACTCTGTTCCATCCCCAGTATATGAAAAGTGAAAGAGAAGGGAAGAGTTAGGAGACAGTGCCTGACTCCAGTGTCCTGCCACCTTCTAGAAAGTCATTTTTAAAAATCAATTAAAGAAAAGCAGACGTCAGAGGGCTGGAGTCTGAGGTTAGACCCACGACGCCCAGCCCACGCGGCTGCCCCCGATAAGCCAGCTCCAGAGGGGACACCGAGGACTGTCCTGCTCCTCGCGTGCGCACTGCGACACTGCCTCTGGGCCGGCTCCGCCTCTGCGTCTTTCCTGTCCAGGCCTCACCTCAGTATGCTGGCCTGCCCCTAACAGGCCCAGCCCTCCTCAGCAGTCAGCGTCTGCTCTGGATCTCCTCTACACTCCTTTCCAGCAGGACGAGCCCCGAGCCACTCACCGGTTAGCCGTTTTCCCGCCCGCCCCACACAGCCAATCAGTAGGTACACACTGGTCCCGCCCACTGCGCAATTCCGTCTGGGGGGCGGGACTTCCGGTGTCGGTAGCGCTGACCTTACCAGACCCCGCACGAGGTTGCCAGTGCCATGTGTGCTGCGCTGCTATCCTGTGGCAGGCCCGTGTCTTCACAGTATGTTATTGGGCGAAAATGTGCCCCAGCCTGCAGTGAGGACGCGAGGGTTTCCACACCCCAGCCCCGGCGGTGGGTTTCTCCCCAACATCACCCAGACCCAGAAGCTGCGGAATGGTGTTTTGTGCATTTCCTGCAACCTGAGCAATTTCACGGGGCCTCAGCATGAGTTCCGTGGGGGAACTAACTCAGATCTGCCCTGCAAGGAACAAGGAAGCAGTACTCTCACCCTGCCAACCTGCGTAGGCGTAGAGGTAGGGGTGGTGGTGGCTAAGACTTCCAGATCATTACTAGAGCAGTAGTGATTATCTTACGGCTTGGGATAATTGAGTAGACCCATGCTAATTTCAGTACTTAATTTTACACCTCCAGGTACAGATACACCAGAGTGGGGTATGAGCAACCATTAAGATGGCTTTTTTAAAAAAAGTGTTCAAGGTAAATCTCAGTAGTAGAGCATCTGTTCAGTTAGCATGCATGAGGCCCTGGGTTTCATCCACAGCACAACAAAATAAAAACACGAATGTTGGTAGGGTGTTGTACACTGTTGACGGGAATGTAAAATGATAACAGCTGGTGGATCCCCTGAAATTAGAGATATAATTGCCATACAACCCAGCAATTCCACTTCAGGGTACATACTCCGAAGAATCAAAAGCAGTCTTATGGAGTTCATTGTTTGCATTAATAGCAGCATTAGTGACAGTGGCAAAAAAGTTATTGGAGTGTCTGTTTGTTGAGGTCTGTGCCATAGATCCCCAACCCCCAAAAGGGTGCATGGGGAAGGCCCAAAAGAATGAGACAAGGAGGCCTAAAATCCTGGGCAGAGCTCGTAACTCTACCTATTTAATCTGCTAGCAGGCTGGCCGACTGATGCTGGGCAGCCCGTATTTAATCAGAACAAGCAAGTTGAGTGGACAATGAAGGAAACCTGAACAGGATCTTGGGAGGGGTTCAAGGACCTCTGAGTGGAACAGACAATGCTAATTAAGGAAAACCATCCAGAAAGTCTCCAGGTGGCCTCAGCTGTGGTCTGTCCTGCCCCCTGAGGTGTCTCCTCCTCAGTTCAGCTATGCCCCTGCCACACCACAGCCCTGCATGTGTATTCAGCTTCAACACTCCAACATCTGTCAGTGGATGATTAAACAAAATGTGGTATATATGAAGCACAGTGTACTTCAGGTTTAAAGAGAAAATTCTGACAGTGAAAAAGATTAATCATAAAAGACGTATGATTCCATTATAAGAAATAAGAAATAAAAGCTATCTTCGAAGATTTAGAAGGCAGAAAGGTTAGGGTTAGGGTTAGGTTGTTGGGTTAGAAAAAAGAAAGGTAGCTTAGAGGTAGAATTTCACTTTTGCAAGGTGAAAATAGTTATGTTGTATAACAATATAAATGTACTTAAGATGGTTGAGATGATTAATTTTATGGTAGATAGACATAATAGGGCATATTTATTTACATATTTTATTCTACTAGAGATTGAACTCAGGCCTTTGAGTTATATCTGCAACCCTTTTATTTTTATTTTGAAATAGGGTCTCAGTAAGTCACTCAGTTGTCTGTCTTAGGCTTGAATTTAATGATTCTCTTGCCTCAAGACTCCAAGAGTGCTGGGATAACAGGCATTGTCACCAGATCTAGCTTTATGTTATGTATCTTACTGCAATTTATAAAAAGTCTAAAGCATATATAGCTAAAATAGAGTTAGTGATGAGAACACTAGGAGAGAAAAATAAAATCAGGTAGTACTGATTTGTGGTGGGAAACCACATAATCGGAGTGGTCAGGGAAGAACTCGTTGAGCTGAAACCTGATAGGAAGAACCCAGTGAGTAGAAGATCTTGGCTGGAGCCTTTAAGACAAAGGAAAAGCGGGTGGGAAAGGCTGCCATGGGTAACTGAGCTCCGTGCAGGACAGAGGCCACGTGGCCAGAATATGATGAGCAAGGGTGAGAAGTAAAGCTAGAGAGTTAGTTGGGGGCCAGGCTCTCTGAAGAGTCGCCAGTAATTAGGAAAATAATACTCTTATATGATCAAAGAGAATTTCATCTTGCATTTATCCAAAAGTCAGGCATATGTTACCTTTTCTAATGGAAGGCTTGGATACAAAGCACTGCCAGCATGGCTCCTCTCTGACTCTGATGTCATCTCAGGGCTGTTCCACCTTTGGCCCCTCGCCGCAGCCTCAGGTGATCTTGCCTCCTGTTTGCTCAGCTTGCTTGCTTCTTTGTGTTGTTCAGCTCACGGCTGCAGTTCTTCAGCAACATTCTCAGGTCACTAGATTTAGGGCAGCCACCCAGTTGTTCTTTTCTCATCAGCCTCTTCATTCTCTGCTTAGCGCTTACTACTAAGTTTTTTTTGAAGGTAGTAAAATACAACAGAACAAGACAGAATAAAGCCGACTGAGACCGGGTAGTGAAATTGGTACAGAACTTCACAGCGGGGTACTGGAATAACAGTAATAGGTATCACAGTATATTTCGTTATCTTTACAATAGTTCTTTAAATCATGTATATCAAAATAAAATGAAATACAGAACATTATAGAACTTATCAAAACAATATTGAATAGAGCAGTACCATTAACCAGAATAAAGCAAAACAGTAATAAAAATATTTGCCTTCAAAGAGATGGTAGAAGGAAATCCCCCTTATTTGCTATAATCAACCTCCCAAGAGATGCTCAGATTTCTGGTTCCCATTTGCTAACGTGGGGACAGGAGAAGTGGGGTAGGGGAAGCGGGATGTTTGACTCTAGGCCATGCACCAGTAGGTTCACTATTACTTAGCCGGGAGGCAGGCTGGTTGCTTGGTTTCCCAGCGTCCTCAGTTCCAACATGGCTCGGATCTCAGGAAATGCTGGTGGTTCTCCCCCTGGAAGGGCTGCAGTCTGCCACATCGCCACTGCTTACCAGGGAGGCGAGCTGCTTGCTTGGTTTTCCAGGCTTACTACTGATTTTTAAATCGTTAATTTGTTTGGAAATGTGTTGTATTGTAAATTCTATAAGAACAGAAAACTCGTTTGGCTTATTTACAACTGTCCCCAGTACCAAGTGTTTCCACATATACTGCAGTTGATAGTAATTCTCTCAGACAGGGTCTTGAAAAATCTTTCAGGTTGGCTTCACATGTGTAATCTTCCTGCCTCAACTTTCCCAGTAGCTGGGATTACAGGAGTGAACTGCTGCACGCCTGCTTAAATATTCTAGAGAATTTCTCAGCATCTCACTGGAAGGTCAGATGTTTAGCTACCTATTTGTAGTGTTTAGCCAGCAGAGGTCTCACTTGTGTGTACCCCTAGGAACTAGACTGTTTTCATGCTGAAACTGGTTACTCCAGACTCCTGGGCACCTTCTAGAGAGTTTTAGACACTTGGTGTTCTTTTATGTTGTGATGTAGAAGATAGAACAATTCATATCTGTTTTCAACCAGTGTGTGGGAAAAACTTCATCTTCCGGGTGATCCAAGCACTTTTCCGCTAAAGATCCCTCACTGCCTTTCAAGACCATGGGTCATGGCTATGCAAGTTTTCTGGCAGTGATCATTCTGGCTGCTTTGATGAACAATGTGCATTGTCCCTGAGTCCAAACTGGCAGCAGATTCTGGGGATTCAGTCTGCCTCCAGCATGCACGCAGGCCAATCGCCGTGAGATGGACCCTGTTGTGGTAAATGTGACAAGTGACTTGAAAGGTGACCTGGCTGGATGTCACTGCAGGGACTGTGAGATGAGGGAGGCAGAGCGGCAGCAGCTTATTGACATGAGGACCCTGGAGAGGGAGCCAGGGGCTACCATGATGGTTCTTAAGCTGGGTCACTTTGCTTTCCCCAGGACCACTTACTGTTTGATAAACCCATGTCCCCATTGCTGCCCCAGCAGGAATGGCTTGAGACTGACTGGCTGGGCGGAACTGGGTGTGAGGTTGCTCCTTCTCTCTCTTAACCTCCATGTCAAAAAATGATTCTTTTTCTCTCTCCCCCAATTCTCCTCTTGCTTCTTAAGTCCTTTCCCTTCTTGATCTGGTGAGTGGGGAGGATCACATAAAGGACAACTCCATGGGGACGGAGGCAACGTGAACAGAGAAAGAGTTTGAAAGAGTCTCCCTGCCCTCAGAGAGCTCAGAGAAGGTGTCTGGGATCCAGATGGGTAGAAACACGGAAAACCAGACAACAGCCTAGACACCTGGACTGTGTCATGTATCACCCAACCAGGACATTTCCGGTAGTAAAACGGCTCACTGTTGATTACTCTAGGGAAATAGGTACAAACTAGGACTGTCCTGGGAAAACCAGGGCAGAGCATCACCCTAAGAACAGGAAGAGAGAAAGGAGGTCAGGACCCTAAGGAAGTAAATGAAACAGTTGTCAGGCAATGCAGACAAGGAACAGCAGAGACAGCCAGTCCCTGCCCCGGGGTGGAGTGTGGGTAGTAGGCTGTGCAGGTCAAAAGCGTTTGAGCCCATGTTGATGTAGGAGGCAAGATATCAGTGTGATCATGTTTCTAAAGTCGTCCCCAGCCAGGTATGGAGGTGCACGCCTATAAACCCAGCATTCAGGAGGCTGAGGCAGGAACATCGTTGTGAGTTCAAGACCCTGGGCTACCTGAACTGCATAGCGAGACCCTGTGTCAAAAAGGCAAATAAATAAAGAAAGAAAATAAAGAAAAAAATTAAGTCATCCCCAGTCCTGAGCCAAGGCAGGACTGGACTCTAGATTCAGTTGTTCCTGCTACGGCTCCATGTCCAGGCTTTAAGCAGAGAGTAGCCGGGAGCCTGGGAGGTGGAGGATGGGTCAGCTGGAATTCAGAGTGCGTGGCGGTTGGCAAGCCCTGAACCTGTGGTCC